TAAGAGTTCAAACCAGGAAGGTTATTATATTTTTACAAAGGAGGGTTTTATAAAGTTATAGGTAAAGTATGGAATAGTAACTTTTAATTAAAAGCGGATGTTTTGCAGCATTCACTACAGATCCTGCAACAGCCTTTTTCCCACCACTCCCACCCAACTGTTGAACTCTAAACTGGACTCTGCACCAAACTTACAACACTGTTTTGCACCACCAACATGCTGAACCTTAATAATCCTTTTAAATAGGACACAACGCAATATTCTGCTGCATTTTGTACCATATTTATTTTGCACTTGGCTGAACCTTTTCATATTAATGCCCATTTACACCATTACTTTTACACTGGTTTCTCTCTCCTACACTGTTTAAATTCGGATCCCTGCTGCACTTTATAAATGGTAATGGTCATTTCACTGTTGAACAGTAGCAGCCATTCAAAATGGCCAGAATGACAGCCCACTTCCCTACAGCTCCCAGCAAAATCCCCTCCAACTTCCAGCCACTGGAGTGATGCCCTCTTGCATATCTTTTTATTCTGACTCCACCTTTTCACTGAATTACAGGCTCTGACCAGGAGATGATGCTACTCTTTAGATCTTAATGTCCACAAATCATGACAGAAAGAATATTTTAGTACAAAAATGGATGTTTAAAAAGGAACTGTAAGGGAACAGCCAAGGACACGATTGTATGCAAAACTTACAAAAATATTGTAAGCTGTATGCAACTGAATTTCGTTTTGCATACAATCTGTGCAGTCTAAGTCTAATTATAAAGGAAGTACCAAATACATTTCTGAAAAGTAACCCTTAAATTCAAATAATTAGTTATTGACAAAAACATCCAGCAAAGTACCAGGTTCTTAAAAGTAAAAACTGAATTCCAGAAACATGCACAGCAGTAAGTAGAAGGTTATAAGTCTGAAAATGTTGCTTTCCTTAAACAAAACATTTAGTTTTTCTTAAAAAACAGGATATGAATAACAATTCCCCATTTTTCTGGTGTCTGAGTTTTACCTGTTTCCTCATTATGTCCATGGTCTGCATGATGCATCGCGGCAGAAGGCCATGGTTCCTGGCCAGGATCATTGCCTGCTCCAGGGTCACATTCAGGGAACATCTGAAAGCAACAAGAGGTCTGATTTTAACCCTGTTTGGTTTTAATGTATGAGCTCAAATGGATTCAGACAGCGAGCTGATGTTTGGTGTGTATAGGTGACAGTGGGTAGCTGTAATCTGGAATAAAACTGACAACTATACACTCTATGTAAACAAAATGACAATAAAGTTTGTCTAAGGCTCTAAGTCTCTAAGCTCAAAGATAAGAAGTTGTGCAGAATAAAACATCCTGTGCTAGTAGCAGACTGACCTCTGCAGGCCCGTTCCACACATGGTGATGTGGCAGGCTCCCAGGCGGTTACACAGTTCGGAGGACACACACAGCACGCTGACGCCTGACGGGTGGCCCTGGGCGCTCGGACGCACGTTGACATATGACTGCATTAGTCGACAGAGGTCATCCAGTGTGTTGAGGGGTCTCAGCAGCTGTGAAAGGCGAAGAAGGGGGGTTTAATAGGGTCAAATAAATGATTGAGGAACATCACCAGGACACCATCTTGGTAAGTCATTTAAGCAACTAAATGTTGGAATTTTTTCCCTAAATAAGCCTAAAACTAAGGAACAAAACTGTGCAATGTTTAGAGTCATCCCTATTAGCTTTGAAATTAATTTAACAGGAGCCTCATTTTCTTTTAATCTTTACAAGTGGTCTTAATTTAAGGTTCTTTAAGAGGTCAAAAAAGTTTTCTTTGGATTTTGGCAGTTTTTATTTGTCATTTGCAGTAATCATGCTTAATCTATTATAAGTATTATATTGTTTAAGGTACTAATCAGAATCAACTTTATCATTAGATTTGTGCCCATAAACAAGGAATTTAACTTCAGTTTTCCATCGTCCACATAATAATTTAATAGTTCAGTGGTAAGTAGTAAATAAATAAAATCAAAACATGCAAGTTGCAATAGTGCAAAAAAAAAAAATATTGGATTGTTTGTGTCTAAATACATTTTAATTTTCATTGAGTCCAACAGAGGAAAAGCCCAGGGAAAGTAATAAAGATATAACAATAAAAAAGACAAGCACTGTCAATTTCTGGCTTTTAAGATGTATTATCTGGTTCTAAAAATATTTAACCATCTTATTAAAAGTACCCCAAATAGTAGAAATGGTCATCTAAAAAAAAAGACCTTCTGTTTAATTTTGTACTGGAATCAGCCTCTACCTAGATGGCACAACATTGCACAGAGCTGAAATGAAGCCAAAATGGTTAAAGCAAAAAGCCAAGACATTTAAAACTGCACTCATCTCTCCAAAATAAAAATTATTTGTAAAACTACAGATAAAATGCAGACCGATGGCCATGCCAAGAATAATAGCAGCCTCACTGTGCACAGTCCAAGCCCCTGGTTTTGTCCTGCTAGCAGGTCCATGATGAGCTGCAGCTACATGTTCTATTATCTCCAATGTGTATTCCCAAAGCTTTTCCTAGTGACAATCTGAAGTGCATGCAGACGCAAATATCTATGGATTGATTTCTTACTAAGAGCGAACCAAGAGACCTGACGATGGCACATGTGTTGCTGGTGCTGCATAAATGACATGAGTAACCATAAATATTTATTGTTTCATTAATATTTGACCAAACAGAGCTTCTAACGATGCTTCTGGAAAGGAGTAATGCCTCTGTGAAAAAAAAACATGATTGGTATGACTGGTGGAGTTTAGGGCTGCAACTAAGGACTATTTTGCTTATCGATTAATCTGTCAGCTGTTTTGTTTGACCATTAACTTAAAGGTATTGTGGACGATTTTTAAAGACCCACACTCTTTGTTTAATTGGACAGTAGGCTGACAGTAAAGGGGGTATGAGAGAGGAGGAAAGACATGCGGCAAAGGACCACAGGCCGGATTGGAACCTGGGTCGGCCGTGTCGAGGACCAAGGCCTCCGTACGTGGGTTGTGTGTGCAAACCAGTGCACCACCAAAGCACGCTCAACATACAGCGGAGACTGTATAGTGGACTGTTAACTGACCGTTCGGACAGATGATCACTGCCTTTTGATCTGTTGATCACATAACTCCTCCTCCTTTGCATGGTGCCTGCGCCATCTATGTTATTAGTAGCCGCTGTCGGGTAGCAACAACCTATGGCGACAGTTGGCTGCTCTGACAGCAAATCCCATAATGCTTTGCGAGGAGTGCTCTCCATGCAAAGCATTATGGGATACATCTGCCTCTTCTGAGGTCTTTCTTTTCTTCTCATACACTTCATTGACACTTTTTCTCTTACGACCCTCGGCCATTTTCAAAGAACCAAAGTGACAGATATGTGGCTGAAAGTGCGCATGCACAGAAAAAGATGGCTAACGGGGTGAGCGTGTAAAACGGCCTTACGCAAACATATCACCAGAATGATTGACAGTTAGAGAACCACTGAATTAGATGATCCACCCGGAAATAAAATATCGTCCTCTATACTTTTAATATTGGGATAGTAAAAGCTGCCTTAAAGACGTGTTTTATACAGAATTTGAAAATTTCTGTACGGATTTTTTTATATAGAAAATGAAGCTAAAACTATGAAACTTGAGGAGTTCTAATTTGAGTTTATCAACAGATAATAAGGATTTTTATTTTAAATGCAAGTCGTTTTGCGTTTTACCGTTTTGGCATAATTACTGCTCTGAGTGGGTTGTTTTTTCAGCAATTAGCTTTTGTTAGTCTGTAATCTAGTTAATCCTTTATTGATTACTAAAATAGCTGAATATAATTTCAATAATTGATCAATCGTAATTAATTGTTTCAGTCCTAACAGTGTTGCTCTAATACAAAAAGTTGAAACATCTTTTTTTCCTTTTATTTTCTGAAAGTAATTGGTCCCATACAAAAAATGACCATAAAAAAAGAATTTCTATAGTGGGTTAAATTAGTATTCAACTGTTTGTTCAGCTTAGAATTAAAATAAGGTGTATGCTTCCTTTTTTTTTTTTTTTTACTTTTTTATCATGGCTGCTGTAACTCTTAGTTTACATGCATCATAAAAAGCAAAGGTAAAAATAATGAATGGATGATTTAAGGAGCCAAAGTTTAAATAAAAAAACTTTCCCGGGCCATCTGAAAGGTTAATGAATAAATTAATCGGGACTTTTCCTGCTTGACTTAAGTTTAACAAAAAAACAATACCAGAAAAATACTGAGCAAAATGTCAGCAAAGTTAATTAAAGCTTAGAAAAATAAAATCTGAAAACATTACAACATAAACCTTAACTTACATGCTGAAGATATTTCCACACATTTTAATGCAAAGTAGAGTAACTGACTTGTAAGATGGAGCATCAGTAAATATAAGACTAATAACAAAACAACCACATTTAATAGGGTTATTTCTGCGGATCTCGTAGAAATGTAAATACCAATGGATTAGATTAAACTAACTATGTGGTACTGATTTTATTTCAGCTACAGTCAGGTTGGCACACTAGAGGTCAGGCTGAAATTAAATCAGTGCAGGATGTTGATGTGCTGAGGTTAGTCGGAGTTAATTAGGAGGTCTTGACGAGCTAGTGGGGATTTCCACAGGGACAGGAAGACAAACCAGTTCCTCTTACTTTGGAAATGCTTGGCTGAAGGTCTCTAACTTCAACGCCCAGTATCTGTGCTTGCATTTATATTCAGTCACAACATCATATAAAAATTGACTTGTATTGCAAAGATGAAGCTGTGCGATAACAAATGAAACAGATAAAAGTAACGGCAGTAAAGAGAAATCCATGAGTGCATATTTACCTGGTCTATTTTCATCGCTGTAGAGTTGGAGTCTGTAGGTAGGTTAGACTTCTCCAAATAGAAAGCCCTGTGGAAGCAAAAGCATTTAGATTTACACTCTTTGGGCTTTATGAAGTTAGTAAATGACTCATGTTATCTGAGAGCTGAGTCAGGAAGCCTCTAGAGAAAACAGCTTCACAGCATTGATCTGCGACAGTACAGACTCTCTGTGTTCCTGATGTTCTGGGAATTCATGTGCATATAATGTATCAGAGATCAGGACTGTATTCATAATTTAAATAAAACCCATCATGTGACAAGGAATAAAAACTCCCATCCACCACACATACTTGGAGCTGTCAAAAAGATGAGGAAAAACTCAAATCACATGAATCTTTAAAAGTAGTTTTCTAATCCTAAACTAAGACATTAAGTCTTAATTTGGGTAAACTTCAGTGCGGGAAAATACTTAAGACAGAAATAAAATAGCCCACAACATCATAACACCTCCACAGAGTGGAAGTGAGTTCCTTTTCTGCATATCTGGAAAGTTTTTCTATAATATTTTGACCATTTGTCATCTTAAAAGCTCTTAAAAGCTCAATCTTGGGGCGTGCAACTGCCTATAAAGATGACCTCAGTCCTCAACACGGTCTACACTGACCCAAAATCTTTATTATTTTTTATTTCATTAATTTTTAACTTTAGTCCATACGTTTCCTCCTCTCTCACTCAATCTCGTTTCTTGGGTCTGCCTACTTTTTTTTTTTTGGCTGCCACTGTGCGGCACCAAGGAGCAGTCTGGGGTTAAGGGTCTTGCTCAAGGACCCTGAGGGGCAGTCTGTGGGAGTCGAACCCAGAACCTCAGAGATCCAAGTGGAACCACTAGGCCACCACCTCCAAGGGTCTGCCTACTTTGAAAAAAATATAAAATAAGGAAATAAAAAATAAGTTAAAAGTGTTCCATATTGGACTAATCTGGTAGCTTCAGTTAAAGCCAATATAGAGTCACTTGCTATTATGTTCCATCTTACTCTTACATCTAAAATTATTTAAACTTTGAATATGTTTTCTGTTAGTAAATGGATTAGGAGATCATTAAAGGAAATCAGTTTGCTGTAATTTTGATATTAAACGTTACAGCAAATATTATTCGCAAATTTCTAATCAAATCACTGGAAATAAACTTTACTTGCTTTATTTAAAGGCATTTTTTTAATATATTTGCTGAGCACCTTGCTGAAGGTTTCTAGTGGGTTTCAATAATATCTTTGGAGAGAAGCTACAAACCTTTGTGGTTGCAAGGCCTCCTTACCATCACCCTAATCTTTGGCTCCCTCTAGAGATTCTTAATTAGAATCAAATCAGAGCTGCTCAGAGTTTCATATTACCTTCAGTTATTGGAAATATGTTTATTTATATGAAAAGACCTTTTGTTATATGAAAAATATTTTAAAGTGTTTGCTGAAAATAAAAGCTTAGTTGGTCAATATTAATAACTTACACTAAGCTGCCTAATAATTAAATAATTCTGTGATACTGAACTAAGGAGGTTGTGCTTTATCGTACGAGGACCTTAAGGACAAGTGGATAATCGTATTGAAGTTCTAACCTTAAAATATTGAAAGAACTTTGAATTATTAAAAATAATGTATTCTTGATTTATGTATACTAGTCCCAGGACTTCAGGCGAAATAAAATTTTCCCTGACTGACTGGGATCCTACTGGAGACCCCTGTTACAGTGGAGAGCGTAGAGTACCTGAGTTTCCGGTAATACGCCTTGACCTTCTCCAGCGATACGGCATTGATGCGCTGCTGGAACTCCTCCATGTCCATGTTGTCCTGCGAGGATGTTCCCTCTGGACGCTCCAGGGCTTGAAAACAAAACAGAAGGTTTTTCGCGTAAAACACAATATTAGAGGAACAAACTATTCTATAACCACAGAATTAAACATTAGTATTTCAAGCTTGTCATGAATTCAGGACTTAAAGCTGTGTGGAAATAAACCTGTATCTTTAAATCTTTACCAGCAGCACAATTAAAGACAAAAACCTCAACACCTGCAGTAAGCAATGAGTTCCCCTAATTTGCAGTGAGGTTTGGTTTCCAGCAGGTGGCGATGTTTATCCACCATGCTGTGGAGCTTTAAAATCTTTGGGGTGTGTTTGCACTTTCAAGCACATGAAACAATCAGAGCCATTTCATCGGATTAGTCTTCCACCTAGCACTTATGTATAGAAAACCAATGGCTGTTTGGCAGAATGGTGAGATGCATAATGCCTTCTGAGTGACACTGATGGAGAACTAAAAGGAGTGAAGGAGAGTGCAGAGGTGGAAGCGTCCAATAAAGCGCCTCAATCTAACCCAATAAAAAGAGTTAAAGCGATCAGTAAATGTACATGCGAAGGAGGAAAATGCATCGAGTGTTTTAAATGGTTTTATAGTATCTGTAATGCATATAATTGATTTTAAATTGTAGATTGGTTAGTGATGCGGGGTTGATCTCAACAAAGTAGGTTATAACTCCAGAAATGCGTCAAATAATATATAACATCCGAGTTGAAAGTGTCATCCTGACATTCCAGAGGAATTTGAGTAAAAAGGCTAAAGATAATGAAATTATTTAATGCGCTACAATTATTTAGAATGTTTGGGGAAAAGAATTGAATCTATAAGTTTTCTCATCTTTTAATGGTGAGGGGCTGTGATTAGGGGCTTGGTTCCGTTTGGTAGGACCCTAACCTAGGATTAAGGAAAGGTGTGAGGAATTGGACAAGTCCGGTAAACAAGCTCTCTCTGGGTATGATCTGTTGTTTCAGATGCTGTACCACCTGAAAAGGTTCTCTTAGAAAGAGATCCTCCATAAATAATGATATAAAGTGCTGTTTCATTTATCAATCATTTCTTTACATTTGGAGACAAAGTTTCCCAGGATGACGCTCCTTGCTGTAGCTGACCAACAGTGAGCATGGGAGGTTTTTAACCTCCCTACCATCCTGGTAGATGAATTATCCTAGACACTGCAAACCTCCGTGTCCTTTTTTTTACCTCTGGTAAAAAAGGACAGGGTGGATTATTAATGTATCCCTCTACATCGTCCCTCTAAACTGTCCCATCAGACCCAGTCTCACCTCTGGAGAACAGGACGGTGTGTAGCTTCAGACTGCCTCCGTTTTGTAGCCGACTGGGCAGCTCACTGAAGTGACAGCTGTCCAGGTACATGGTGACCCTCAGGGCCTGCCGGCTGCCCTCCACCTGGTAGCACACAGGGGTGTCTGAAAAACAGAGACAAAGCAGGAGCGTTACAATCACTTATATAAAATAGCATGCATAACAAAAAAAATCTTAAGCAGAGTTGTTATTGTTTAACATTTTAACATAAGTGACTCCTGGCCTTTACTTGGGGTCAAGACAAAAAAAACAATACATTGTAGCGTGCTCTGATGTTACTTGCAGCATTTTTTTATGTTCTGTTGGTTCACAAGCTGGACTTCAAATGCATTCTGTGGGAGTTTGCACATTTTTGGACAGAACACTTTGACACAAGATGTGTCATTTGGTTTATTTTGAAGCAAACCACAAACAGGACAAGCATCACCCACCCTCCTAAAGTCAGTGCCTTATAAAGCCCCATTTGCAGCAGTTACAGCAGCTTAGGGAATTTGTCACATCCTGCTCCTTCAGACGGACACTTCAAGCCTAACCACACATTATTAATCAGATTGAGGTGTGAATCTTGTCACTTTTAAATGTTTCCCTTTAAACTACACAAGTGTTGTTTAAGCTTTATGCTTTAGTTCAGTGCCTATAATCAGGTTCAGAATGACAGTTTTTCGTTTAGAATATAACTGTATTTAGCACCATCCACTCATCATGATGCTGCCACTACCCTAGGGGGAAGTGTAGGGAAGTTCTAGGGGAAGTGTAGGGCTTTCAACAGATACAGGATTTACTTTTGTGAAAAATCTTGAATATTCTGGTGTCATCTGACTAGAACACCTTTATCTATACATTTGGGAAGATGTTAATTTGCCTCTTGGCAAAGAATGCAATCTTATAAATACAAAGCAATGTTTTTTTTTACTGCCGACCTCTATGGTCCACTGATTAAAGCCCTGATTCCTAAGTGTGTGATTTTTGGTAGGCGGCCCTCTCTTGCCTGGAAACAATGGAAATCTAGTCTATTCATTTTTTCTTAAGTGCATTTGTTCTTAAATTAAGGAGATAAAAGAGACATTTTGCCAAGACAATTTAGATTTAAAATAATAGAAAACACAATTTCATTGACTTATTTCAAGTACATATTATTGAATTATCTTATTTTAAGAGTAAAAATACTAATTCCATTGGCAAACTTTCTCAGATACCAATTCAAATCAAGAGTAAATACACCTCATTTAAGAAATGTTTTATTATTTCTAGATTACTTTTCCAGTGTAGCCAGGTTTGTGGTATCATGTGCTTCACATTTGAAGATTAAGGATTCAAAATTATATAATTATTATTTTTAACAATCCCACCCAGACTTATACTTTTCTATAACTTTTAATGTTTCTAACTAATTTAAAGAGCTCCTTGGTCTTTATTGTGCTGATGACTCTGAGGACTTTTATAAAAACTATTTTTAACCTGACCAGTACGACACATAGATTGCTCACAGGTTAATTTCATTCCTCTAATTTCGTAATTCTGAAGGCAAATGATTTCACAAAAACATTATTTTTTCTTCTTTTTTCTTATTCCCTTTTTACATATATTTTTCTAATTTTGCTTCTCAAAGTTAAAAGGTCACCTAGTTTCCTTTCTGTGCTATGTACTATTAAAAAATAATTTAAATTTCCACAAAATAAAACAAAAAATGTTTCAAAGCCAAGTGGGTGAACACTTCTGTAAGGAGCTCTACCTCCAGTGCAACAGTTTGAACTCATATGTACCATCAGCAATGTTCAAAATATATTTTACAGCCATTTCCAGGCAGATTTAATTGCATTTGTATTGTTACTTTCTTGCAGGTTAATGCTATGTCATTGGAAGGCAACAAAAACTCCCAACATTTACCTAATGGTTGAGGGAAATTTATCACTTCTACATTTAGAATAACTGAGACATAAGGTGATGGTGTCACAAAAAGAATTTTCTTCTACCAGGAATCCTTATAGACTGTAAAAAATGTTCCTGTCAACATCTGATAGTATGGCTGGTTGTGTGTTTCACGCCACTCTGATTATGCGATAACGTTACCGTCTGTTTTTGTTGTATTGCTCTTTCAGTAAGGATATATAAAGGATGGGTTGTTCAGCTCTGTTTTCGTACAAATGTCTATATCCTGTTTGAGCTTTTTAAGTTATAAAATTTATATATCTTTACACTTTATTATGAACTGATATTATAAATAATGTATGCATGGGATTACAAAAGTAATTATTAAAAAGTAGGAGCGTTTTTCTCAACGGTGCACAATGTCCTCCTTGCAGCTCAGAATAAAGCTAGAGAACAAATTTCAGCTTAATCAACAGCTTTGCCTTTTAACATGGGAAGTGCCTGCAGATTTTTTTTTTCCTTGAACTGCAATCTTTGCTGACCACATTGAGGCTGTTTAAAAGAGGACCAAAGCAAGATGAAGACATCTTTTGTGTGGGAAGGCTTTCAGATTTCTGGTGACACGGGCACCTTCGGTAAATGCAGACACCAGGGGGGAAGGGAATATTAAAATGCACAAATGTATCCAGATTTTCAGCTTTACACAGACGGTTTTGTAAACATGCTCACAATGGCTACTTTAAACAACCACGGAGCATCCTCAGTCTATGCAGCTGCAAAGTATGGTCCCTTGAGCCGTGTTTCAGCATAACCCATTTCACTTCTTCTGCTGCAAAATGAACATTTTTGTAACTTGGCTCATAAAGCATTTAAATGTAAAAACTGAAGTTGTTTAAAAGCATTGAAATGAAGTTGTTGTGGAAGAGGACGCCAGGGCGGCAGAAGTTTGGTTTGGTGTAGAAGGCTTACAGCCGAAATTAAGATCCTACGACTGAAAACAATTGATTGACAGATGACCATTGATATACGATTGGCCAAATTTTGGTGTACAAGCTGACATATAACTAACTGGCCTGCATAAGATAACAATTTAATTGTTAACTTAACTTGTTAAGTAAAATGCACATATGCAAACATTGCATGAGTAAAATAACATCCTGGCAGGATGCATCATGAGATGATTGCAACTAAGAGAGGGAGGATGTAAAGCAGGTGCACGTTTGCCTCTCTGAATGGCTTCTTCCAGATAAATAGCTTAAAATCAGGTCTTTCTGAAAAGCTGTTCACACAGTCACAGCTGCCTACAAAGGGAAAAGTCTGCCTTTGTTTAAAGCGTCTCTTACTTGCGACCAGACACTCGTCTTCCAGCGGCCTGAAGAACACAGTGACTTTGTCCAAGTCCAACAGGGCTGCCTTGGTGTCTTCCAGCATGGTGCGCTCCGCTTTCTGCCAGAGGAGAAAGAACAAAGCTCTGAAGTCAAAGCAGACTGATCTGGAACATCCATTTAAAAAATGCATAGACTGCATAACAAAGCAACCTTTTGATTTGTTAAAAAAAATATCTGTGTCCTTGTATGATTTTAAGTCAAATTCATAATAAAGCATCTACAACTACTTTGTGTAGGTCTATCCTATCAAAACCAAGCAGATATTATATACATTAGGTATTACAAAATGAGACAATGCAAAAATATATATTGGTTTATTCTCTTTCTTTATCAGTATAAAATAAAATAATGGACTCACAAGGTGTGGTGCAAGTGTGGACTGGAAGTGCAGCAAAACACCGATGACTGATATTTGCTCCAGCCACTTGCGGCTGGTCTCCTTGCTGTCTTCCTGGTATTCTCCAGCATTGTTGAACCGTGAGCGCAGGGCGGTCAGCAGCTGCTCAGCCAGCGTACAGAGGGCACCAGTCGCAGCCTGGCAGAAGATCACATCCCGACGGAGCTGCAAGGACGTGTCTATAGTTGAGGACGGACAGAAAAAACAAACAAAACAAAAGCAGAGAAAGAAACGTAAGCAACAACACGCAAACAAAGGTCTAATAGGAAACAATGAGCTGCAATATATAACCTTTAGTGTCACATGGTGTCTAATTTCTGTGATGGATGAACCTCTTTGCAAACTGCCTGCACAACTCTCCTGTAATTGCAGGAGCTCCTATCTTCCCCCAATTTCCAGGAAAATTAAAAACAGATCCTATCTAATTTTCATTAACTCCTGCAGCTTTATTCTAAGCATGAACCGTTTCTTTGCACTGACCTGTACATTTGAGCAGAGCCAGAAGAAGCTGGTTCTTCCCATCTGTAGGTGTAAAAAGAAAGCAAAATAAAACGGCTGATAGTCTCTGAGTGAGAGAGGGAGCGTCTGGCAGGTAGATGCATCTTCCACTAACCGTCTACAAATCGCTGCAGGCTCTCCACCAGGTTTTTGATTGAGTGGGGCAGGTTCCACGGGTCCTCCTGGATGTTCTTGTGGATGATATAACGACTGCGGGCAGTCCAGTCATCTGTTTGACGAAACTCTGCTCAAAAGAAAAAGAAGCATATAAGTTCATCTTTGAGCTGTCAGAAAAAGATCGACCCAGGCAGCTTGCAGAAGATGAAGAGATAATAGTAAACAAGTACCTGGCTGACTGTGGTCAGAATAAAAGTGCTTGGTCTCATCACAGGCCTTAGTCATAACAGATCCTTTGAGGAGGCAGTTGATTGATTCAACCTGTAGTAAGATAAAAGGATTCAGAACATCTGTATGAAAACTCACTATTTTTTGTTTTCCATCCGTCATACTTTCCTCACTCGGTCTGGTTTTTATCAACCATCCCTGTGCAGAAGCATACAGAACTTTTCATTCCGTCCCAATCCCTTTATCATGGCCTCGGATTCGCTGGTGTGGTTCAGGGCCATTCCAGCTAACTTTATTGGGTATATTTTCACAGCTATAACAGTCAGACTTGTTTAATCTGGACACTGTATGCAGAATCTTAAAAGGACCGCTTGTAATTTGCGAAATTTCTATTTTGTTTATTAAAGGCAAAAGAAAGCTGTTGCTTCAAAACTTTAGAAACAACTTTTTTTTTTGCAAGTGATTGAACGTTATATAAAACAAAAATCTATCTATACCATTTGCTATGAAGGAACTCTGACATGTAGGCATTTGGTAAGTCAGTGAAAAGGAGGCTCTAGAAAACTTTTTTTTTTTATATCAGTCTTTCCAAAATAAATGACAAAGACAAAGTGAGGAAGGAAGGATGTGTGGATGGATGGTTGGACAGATGGATAAGATAAAAGGAAAATTTATTTTTCCTGTTATAAATCTTGATAAATAAACCAGAACAGTCAAGAGAACCAACAAAAAAAAAGGTAAAAAAAAGAAACTATTGTGAACTAAAATCAAAATAACTTGACTGAAAAAATATTGCAATACTTGTCCAAAAAAAGATCCAGTAAAAGTAACATGAAAGCATTTAAAAAAATCTGGCTTCTTTTGAAGAAACCTCTAAAGATAATCAAGAATGTTTTCTAATTTTCTATATTAAGGGGAGTGTTGGCCTAGTGGTAGGAGCGGTGCGCTTTTATATCAGTCTTTCCAAAATAAATGACAAAGACAAAGTGAGGAAGGAAGGATGTGTGGATGGATGGTTGGACAGATGGATAAGATAAAAGGAAAATTTATTTTTCCTGTTATAAATCTTGATAAATAAACCAGAACAGTCAAGAGAACCAACAAAAAAAAAGGTAAAAAAAAGAAACTATTGTGAACTAAAATCAAAATAACTTAACTGAAAAAATATTGCAATACTTGTCCAAAAAAAGATCCGGTAAAAGTAACATGAAAGCACTTAAAAAAATCTGGCTTCTTTTGAAGAAACCTCTAAAGATAATCAAGAATGTTTTCTAATTTTCTATATTAAGGGGAGTGTTGGCCTAGTGGTAGGAGCGGTGCGCTTGTGCTCTGAGAAGGTTGCAAGAACCTGGTTTGATCCCCACAGCCTGCGCTCTGAGGTTCCTGAGCAAGACTCTCACTCTGCACCCTGGGCACCGCACAATGGCAGCCCCCTGCCCCCCAATGGAATGGGTCCAATGCAGAGGTAAATTTCTACAGTGTGAGATTAATAAAGTTTCAATTAAATTTGCAGAAACTTCACTCTGCAAAACCTTTTAAAAGTCTTTCAACACCAACTTCTTCGTCAGCTCTGGTTTTCATACAGAAAACTGAACACATTGGCAGCCCAACTGGGCTCTAAAAAAACTAATGTTCAAAGAAAGTTTGTATCTTAGGGAAAGCCTGTGTATGTTTGATACATGTCTGCAGGTGGGGGAGGGACAGAATTCAGGAAAAGTTGATGATAAAAGCAGGAACCTCGACAGAGCAGAGCGAGCTGCATGAGTTAACTCAGCCCAGATGTTGACTGATTATTACAGCATCAATCAGTCCTAAATTGTTTCTTCTTTCCAACATATCTGGTTCATATCTGTTTAAATAAATTTCTCTTTGCTCGTCTCGGATTTCACAGCTGTGCTATTAAAATAAGGAAGCCCGTCACTAGTGGAGTGAAAGAAAAGCAAACCGTGTTAGCCACTGCTTCAGGACAGCTAGCATATTTTACACTATTCCACCCATTTGCTCTTTGAGGCAGATTTATGCAGCAGCTAAACCCGAAGCCTCACTGCTCAGAGGTTAAACAAGCATCATTTCATTCTGGTTTAGCAAACACTTTACTATAGCATCTTATTCAAGTGCTGAACTTAGCTTTTTTCTTTTTGTTATTGGTCCATGCATGTCATATGCAAAAAACTTCATACTTTGATTAATATTGGGGGTTTTGTTTTGCTCTTTGTAAATTATCTATCAAATAATCTAAAATCTGGAGAATTCAGTAATCCAAATCCTTCTAAACAGTGCAGCAGTAGATTAAGAAGAACCTGAAAAATGAGGCAGTGTTCATTGGCAGATTCAATTGAATTCAGTTTGTTTATATGGCGCCAATTCAAAACAAATACCATCTGAAGGCCCTTTAAAGAGAGACAATTAAATCAGATTATACAGTCTGATTGATCAAAATGTTTTCTATGACTAGAAGCACTGACTGCATCAAGTCATTAACTTTGCAGGATTTGCTCCTCCTGGGTGAGCATGTAGCAGCAGGAGATAATCCCTTGCACTGTGTTGCTGACTCTACGGCAATATCTCATGCTGAGCATCCATGCAGCGACAGTGGAGAGGAAAAACTCCCTTTTAACAGGAAGAAACCTGCAGCAGAACTAGGCTCATTGTGAGCAGCCTTCTGCTCAGGCTGACTGGGGTTGTTTTCTTTCCAAACATATTATAATTTCATGCTTTATTTTTAGATATTAGTGAATATCTATATGTGATGGCAATATGATAATATTTAGCATGAGCAGCTGGCTTGTCTTGGAAAAGGACTAATTTTAATAGAAACTTAAAGCCATTTTTCCTGAACTCACCTGGTTGAAAAGGTGCTCAAGGCAGCCATGCAGCTTGTCCTGTTTGTCGGAGGAAATCCTCATATCACAAGGCAGCTCATCACCTTTTGGCCAAAAAAAATATATTAGTTTTTTTTAATCCCAAAAAATAGGAAACAGATAAAATAACTAACACTTTTTATACTAAATATTTAGATAAAGGAATAACATTAGAAAATAGGAAACATGTCTGATTCGTTTTACTTCTAATGAGTTGTGGAAAACCAACAAAGTAGCAGACGGCTTTATAAAAGTTTTTAGGTTAAATGATCAGTCATCTTGAATACATTTACCATCAACAGGACATTTCCATTTAATACCGACCTTTTATGGCACATAGAATGATTGATTTTTTATCAGAAAAGGCATTTTTAACTTAATATAGGAAATAAGATGTGACTGAAACGATATTCATCTTCAAGTGGTAGACAGGTACTCTGAACAAACATTAAAGAACAACTTCAGCACTATAAATACAGATTTCTCCTACCTGATCCCATCTCGTCACTCCCCAGATAAGAGCTGTTACTTCGAACGCTGGTGTAGGACAGAACCGAGTCCCTGTTGCTGTTGCATTCACTGCAAACATGCAGAAACAGGCTGAATGTACTGTGCATGCAAACATAAAGCAGACTTATAAAAGTGTCTTACATAGTTTGGAGTCCCCCATATAAGTCTTTTGAGTTACAGCCTGTGAGACCATCATAATTAAATTATAATATTTGGATATATAGAAGTTTCCAGTAATTGTAACCCCTTGCACTAAGAATGCATTCCTGCTTTTACAGCTTTATAAATAGTTTTCTTAGTTACCACCATTACTATCACATCGCTTTGATCGTAGCGTTTTCTGACAGTTTTAGTTGAATAACTTATCCTGGCATTTATAGGCATACATTACATGATCCAACATGATGTCTGGGAGCGTGTGTAGGATTATACAGACTCCTGAAATCCCCCTTAGAGAAGCTCTGAATGATTCACAGCTTGTTTTACCATGACCAATGGAGGACTAGCGATTATGAGCTGCAGAAATGACAACAGCAGCTTTGTCTTTCTTCAGCATCAGGCTCAGTTTGATGAAAAATTCGGGACATGAATTCACCTGCCTTGTTATTCTGTGGTTTCCAATGTGTGCTGATGTGTGACTGAAAGTGTGTATTTTTGCTGGTTGGGTGGTGGGACCGCAGAGGCAATAAAACTCAGGGAAGAGAGTTAATATTATGTGGTTTTTATTCCCCCATCTGGGTATGTGGACTAGGAGCAGCACATACACATTTCCTGTCTGTTTAGCTTTACAGAACTGCAGACAAAGCAGATGATTAGCATGAATATCTCTGCAACAGACGTTCCTCAAGATCTTATCCTAAAGTATGCATCATTTTAGACCTATATAACATTTACTGCAAAACAAAAGGTTCTTAAAGTATTTAAGCAAATTCTAGCTGATGCAGCCATACAGTAAAATCCTCTTTGAAGAAAGAGAAGGAGGTTTATTAGTGTTTGGCATCTAAGGTATGTAAGGAGCATACATCTCCTCAGACAGATTCTGACACCAAGGCTGAACCGTAATCTGTCACAACTGGATCCAGAGACACAACAGAGCAGCGTTTGGAATAAACACCACTTTCTCCTGTTCTCCTGAACCAGCGATCTGTGTTATATGGGTACACTACAGCAGGACGCTTCCTCTTGGTGGCAACAGTTGGATCTGAGATTAGTCAAATTATGTTTCCCAGCTAGTTTAAAGTCTGTTTGCACTGAAAGGCTGTTTAAGCCTCATTAAAACAAAAAAAAAAACACCATCATAAGTTTATATATATGTTAAAATGAGTAATGTTCTTAAAAGAAAATACAATATAATCATTATCAAGCAGAAAGTTCTTGTTCATTCATGGTTTAGATGTTTGATTTAAATCAGAATTTCAGAAGTCTGAATGAAAGTTGCTCAAAAATCCTGGATGTCTGCTATGTTTTCCTCTTAAAGGCATTTAACAATGTTATAAAAGCTATTGAAGGTTGCAACTTTAACCTATTTAAAACATATTTAAATATAAATTGTTTCTTAATAAAAGAGCTAATAGCAGATAACAGGAAAGGAAGATTTGATGGTAAATTCCTAAAACAAACAACAATAAGTCAGTTTCAGGAGGAGAGTCTCCAGAGCTTTTCAGTCATGGCATGATTATTTAGAGAAACCAAAATATCAGAGATTAGCTGGAAGTGTTCTGGATTGGAATAATCTGAATCAGGGGTGATATTGCAGGGAATCATGGAAGACAACGACTCTGGAGGATGACTTTGGGGACGAAAGTCACTAACCACTAATATAGAACGCTGGACACAGAACAAAACATCTAATGTGTGATCATTGCCCTAAAGATAAATGTTAACCCTATTTAACAGTTATTATTCTCTCACACTCAATGTGATGAAAACTCTGTAGCTAATTATTGATTATTGATAAATACTCTTTACCTGTTCTCACGTGACTGAGCAATCGGCATGAACTTAAATCCTAATCAGAAGGTCAAAATTTGACAAAAAACAGAATTCTACAGCTTTTGATTTGGAAAGCAATTCTGTACAAATAATTAAAATGTATAGTGTACATTTAACTCATTCTTTAAGGAGCAATGTGCTTCAACAGGGCAGAGCCAGGGAGGAATTCTGGACTAAAGATTTTTAAGGACCTTAATGTGGCGTTCACACCAAGCGAGTTTTACACATCAGGTCTTCTGGTTAACAAGTCTACGCTGGATGCTGCCAAGAGGCGTCGAGAGGTCAGCTGCATGATTTGAGTGTTAGGAGCGGCAAGACTGGCAGCGTTTCCAGTGTTGGGCAATACGCATTTAAGCTTTGAGCAACCACCGACGCTGCAGTTAGGGAATCTTAACCTTTGTAGTCGGATGCTGATGTCAACCAATTAAAGAAGCTGAGATAGACACTATATACAAGCTGTGATCTCTGCTTCTGAAGTTTGGTCAGAATAAACTATAAAAAATAAATGAAGGGGTTAAACTATAATGTTTTACAGTGAAAGCCAGAAGGTATTTTTTTATGTACAAAGAAAAGTCAGGGTGCTCTGATCATTATTACTCCCGTAAAATAGTTTCTTACTGAAATGTGGTCATACAGTTTATAATAATATAATAAAAAATATAATAATAATATATACCTACAATGACTTAAAAATGTTAAAACCTGTCAGCGAAAAATATATATTTTATATTCGGATACTTGCAGTTTTAAGCCTTCATATTAACTTTCAGCTGTTCTGTGAAGCCTTGCCCACTGCCAGGGGCAGATCTAGGAAATTTGGGGCCCTAGGAAAAGACAGGCATGGGGCCGTCTGAATTCTCTTCTTATCCCTTTTCTTGCTGTTTTGCTCTCTATGATTTCTTTTATCCCTTTTTCTTTTCATATTGGCAATATGCAGAGCTGACTTTTCATGCTGTCTCACACGAAATGAAAGATTTTTTCCAATCACTAAGCCCATTCTAACTTAGCTGATTGCTCCTTTCTATATTTCAAAAAGGGCGAAAGCAAAAGTAAATAACAGTCCTTCTTTTCAGTGTAAAGCAGTGTAAGCATTGATTTGCTTATCTGTTCTCCATTTTTCATTTAAATGGAATTATAGCTGCATGGATCATGACAGCAGACAAGATACAGGAGAGCAGGAATGAAAGTGCTAGAGGGGTCTGAAAAGTTGCTCAAAATAGCGACAAGGTAGCAACACTGCTCTTTCCACAGTTTGTTTTCAAATGATTTGCTGCTGTTTGTTTGGACCTTTCTGAACATGCGCAGCAAATGGACTGATCCAATATGGTGGACACTAAAGGGTGGCCCTCTGAGACACACTTAATATTATCAGCGTTCTGATGGCATTTTAGCGAAAGTACTTTGATCAAAAACATAATTAATGTGCACAAATAAGTAATAGCTGTATTAACCATACATGTAAAAGGAGTTTTTTGGGGGCCCCAGGAACTCGGGGCCCTAGACAACTGCCTAGTTTTGGCTAATGGTAAATCCACCCCTGCCCACTGCACAGAGCTTTCACCCAGCCCCGTCGCCTGCCGGAAAGTGGGGGGTCTTTATGAAGAACCAGTCAATATTTCAGTAAGATCATAATCCTGATTAACTGAATGCACAGATAATATTATGAGGTGGACTTTCTTGCTTAAAAACATGTTAGATGTATTTTCTCACTCGTCAAATACAGCCAAGCAACCCTCTGGTTTGCATCCTCTATTGTACAAGAGAGAAGCAAAGAAAAAGGACAGAGCAGCTCAACTTCCACCCATGCGTCTTTAAAAGGTGTCCCAGCTGAGGTGTCAAACGCCTGGAAGCTCAAACAGCATTTGGTCTGAACGCAACATCAGCAACCACCTTCAGCCTTCACCCAGCTCCAGCCTCTAGGCCTCCACTACTCCTAAACCTGTCAGACGAGGCCATGAATGCAGTCCCTCTAACAGAAACTTCACAGCTGATATCCCCACATATTGGGAATCCACAGAGGAACCACAAGGCTCCACCTTCTTAATTTATTTTAACACCCAGTTTAGCAAATCTGGATGTATTAATGAGTTTATAGAGCATGAAAGGAAGGTATCTGTTAATAACCTTTAGGACCCTGCATAAGTGTTTCTCTTAATTATCTTTATTTCTCTTCATTTGACAATCACCTTTGTAAATCTTGCATATATGTGATTAAATATCTGCAACCTAAAAATTGAGTGTCTACAGTTTGCACTTTGGTATTACTGTGGTCCACCAGCTCCTCTGGCATTTACCTCTTCATTCTCTCTGCAGGAACATAGTCCACTAATCACCTCTTTTAAACACAGTAGCATATTTTATCTGCATTTAAGATTATCCGTTCCCTTTTACAGAGCCTCTACTTACTGCTACCATACAGAGCCTTTCGGTCCCCACTGGTCTTTAAAACCTTTAGTAAACACCTTGCGCGTGTGTGAGCTCGTGGATATTACACGCTTACATTTTCCTTTAACATTTTATCACGATGAGGTCGCTGCTTTTCACGTGGCGAGGCCTGGCTTTAATGACAGAGCTGGCGAGGAGGCCGCGCCCTAAACGCCTGGCTGTATTACACAGGGGCCACCACACCATCGACCAATAACTGCATCTTAGTGGGTGGTGGAAGGTGGTGGAAGGTGGAGCTCGGCCCAGTGAACTATGCGCGCTCAGAACTAACTCACAACAAGCGAAATGACATAAGCAGGCCTGACCAAAACATTTTGAAGTCATTTTTAGCTCTTAGTCAGAATGCCAACATCTGGGACTAATTGTAGTCTGCAAGAGGGAGACGAGAAGTATGAAAACTCAGTAAAAAGAGGCTTTGAATGTTGTTTATGGTTTATAGGTGTAGTAGCTTTAAAAAAGGTGTAAAAACAACATGTAAATATTCCATAAATGACTTATTTTAATCTGCTGCACCCTTTTAAAAAGCACGCATGTCATTGTTATGTGAGGAGCTGCAGGAGGTGGTGCAGTGATTACCTGTAGGAGTCCCTGTAGCTCATGGTATCGTGCCCAGAGTCCTCCTGGTCTTCTTCGTTCACCTTAAAGCAAACTTTTTTGATGCCGCCTTGCTCCGCCTTGTCCTGATCACAGCCGTCTTCGCAGGGGGCCAGAGATGGCGGCTGACCAGACTCGTCAGCAGGAGGCTCTCCACTCTCCCCTTCAAGCTGCGTGGGTTCAGTGATTGATGACAGGAGGCTAGAGGAGGATTGAACAATGTGAAGCTCTTATTTTGAAATCAATTAAAGCTTAGAAGGTTTATTCCTTATTATTGACCTAATGTGATGTACTTGTGTTCAGATTTAAATAAACACTCTAAAGGGAAATATACACATCTATTCATTGATGCTTTCAAAGTCCTTCCTCTGCATAAACAGACAACATCTGTCTCTTTCTCTTGACGTTATCCTGCTCTCAGTCCCTGTTCCTGTTCTGGGCCTGGCCCGTAAATATTTTGGGCCTGAAGAATGTCCCTTTTGTAAACCCCCGGCTTTAAACAAGGCAAAGGGCAGACAGACAAAGAGAAGCTGACGAACGGCCTTGGGTGGGTGCGGTCTATGATAACGGAACGTTGCTTTTTATGCAGACAGATCACAAACTCTGACCCTGCTGGCATCGTTAGCTCAGAGTTTACACTCATACAGAACACAGGAATGACAATAGTTGATATGACAGTAGAGCTAAGGACAAATAAAGAAATACAAGAGAATTCCTTTTCTTTCTTGACATTAACTTCCAGTTGCAAACTGCAGCTTGCATACACTGTATGTGCATAAAAGTATTTTTTTTTTTTTTGGCAATTAAACAAAAGTTTATAGTTACGGATTAGATTTACATCTTACATTTCAATCTACATGTGGTCTTTAAATTGATAATCTAAAGTTATCGTGAAACCATTCTGCAGCAGTGGTGCTACAGTGTTTCTCTTTTTTTTGCTTATTAATTATTTTTACACCTTTCATTGTCTTACAGAAGGTACCTTATAGTTTTCTCAGGCAGCTCAGTTGTTGATGCACGTTAGCTTTTGTGTTACTCTGAATTCTGTTTATATACAATTTTTTTAGTTAAAGCTTGTTTTCAACTAATTCCACCAATTCAAAATGAACTGAAAATTTTGAATTGAAAAAGCAAAACTTCTTCAAACTTGGAAAAAAAGTCCAGTGGATTTTTTTTTTTTTTTACTTTTTTGGAACTAACAAAACATGCATGTAAAATGTTACAATTGTGTAAAAAAAATACTAATGCGTTGCTAATTATTGTAAACAATTCTTTGATTTTCACGTAAGGACTTTTATTATTGCATTTTAACAAAGCAATTTTCTTTTGCAGTGTTTTAACTTTTATTTAGATGCTGTTTTGTTTTGTTTTTTTGGGTACTTTTTGCACCACTGCAATTTAAGAATAGCTTCTTTTCAAGGAGAATTATGTTAAAACAATGAACATCTTTAAAGGTGATTGAAAACTTGATATTGGTACTTTATTGTGGATTTTCTCCAATTTACAGAAGATCTAAATTAGCATCACGTTGAAGAAAAACAGGCGAGCTTTCATTAACTGGTTGATTTATCTGTTTCTAGTTCAGGGTTTTAGCCCAAAAATATCAAACTGGCTAAGGTTTGATGTTATTCCAGAAGCTGCTTTATTTGTTAAACATGTATTTATGAATATTTTAATGTTGAAACAAACAGTAGTCAACATTCCATTAGTCCAGCAGTTAATTAGAGAAAATTCAACTAATTATTGAACTAACCCTCGCAATAATGCTGCCACCACCATGCCTCATCCTGACTGAAAGATATTTCTTGTCAGTGAACCACAAAAAAAAAAAAAATAAAAAAATGTTAGTCTCACCTGACTAAAACATCTTCCTAATGAAAGAATATGACTAGACCAGCTGGGAAAACCTCAGAGATGCTTAAAGGTCTGTTTATGAGAAGCGCTTCTTATCTTGGTTCATGTTAAAGCTGATTACCTTTAACTACCAGCTAATGAAAGGCTTGCACCTTTGTGGCCTTTGGCTGTGTTAATACCTTCTAAATGCCACTTTCCTTTTATCTGATGGGGACAATTTGGGTCACGTCTGGGACTGTGATCCCAAAACTGGTTTTAGTATGATTGGGCTGGGAAGATGTTAGGAAAGATGGGAGAAAAGGAGGCAGGAGGACACAAGAGTAGCAGAGGAAACTAGGAAGAAAGAAAAGAGGAAGAAAAGGAGGTAAGGAAGTAGGACTCGGTAAAGGAAGGAAGGAAGGAAGGAAGGAAGGAAGGAAGGAAGGAAGGAAGGAAGAATAGAAGGGTGATTGACAGGTGAGGAAGGAAGGAAGGAAATAAAGCAAAGGCATTTTTCCATCCTCTTTTT